GTTTCAGGATTTACTTTAAAACTACCTGAAAAATGTGTGAAAATCGTACTAGACAGGTAAACTTAAAATAAATTTACCTGAAGAAATGTTTATCGATGTTTGGAAATATATATACAAGGTTGAATAATACTTTTTTTATATAATTTCGAAAATAGTATCTAAATTATTTGCACAAAAGAACAAAATTTTTACACATAAAATAATATCTCTAAATTCTTCAAGTAAATTCGATATTTTGAATACATAAACTATAGTGAACTAATACTGAATATTTTATAAATTGTATAATTAATTAAATTAATATTGATTTTTTTAGAGACTTTACTAAAAGATGATGAGAACATAATTTTAAAATTTATTCATTGTAATAAGTTTTTTTAAGCATCAATCCAATTATAATTTTTTATAAATTTAATATATTAAATAAGAAGTTAACAAAATTAAATTTAAAAACATTTTCAATCAAACTTGAAACGTTCTAAATTTTTAATAAAATTATCTAACAAAAATTAGAAAATAATAATTGTAATTCAACCCCCATTTTCATAATTTTTTACAATACATGTAATACATGTATTTTATTACATAATTCAATATCAAATATCAGAATTATGTAAAAAAATATATAAATGCCCAAAATTCAAGGATATACATATATATCGTACCTACATGGAATATTATATGAAGACAAATAATAATGATAATGGTAATTCGATTCATGAATATGTGAAGAATATATGGACATTTTGCATGTCGACAGGTTTTTATAAAATTATATGTATATATATATATATATATATATATATAAAATAATTTTGAAATAAATCAACCAATATGAGAAAATTACTTTAAAGGATTTACTTTGAAACTACCTGAAAATCGTACTGACTGGTAAACTTAAAATTTTGCCTGAAAATTATTTTCACACTAGTAGAAAACAAACCAAATTTTTCACAGAACACAAAATAATTTCATATTTAGTTTCCCAAGGTGTAGTTTATGTCAAAATTTTATTTAAAAAAATCAGATTTGCTAATTTTGTGTCTTTTTTTGACGATAGATACCATGGTCTTATAGAACATACTAAAATATTAAGGCCCTATGACAAGTAATTTATTTTTAAAAAATCGTTTTATTAAAAAAACTTTTAAAAAGAATGCCTCCATACAGAATTTGTGAGTAATTTTACAAAAACTGAAAAAAGTCCCGAATTTTCTATTTGTTGTTAAAGACTGAAAAATTGAATTCAAAGTCGTTTTATTCAAAACATTTGTATCGAAGTGTATATAACTGTTGGCATGGAATTATTGTAAATTTTATCTAGTTTCTCCTAAGCTAACTAAAAAAGAGTGTCTCCATACAGAATTTGTGAGTTATTTGACAAAAACTAAAAAAGCGCTGCGCCGATTAGGATTGCAATAGATCAGCCAAGCCATTAGAAATTAATTTTAAACTTTGGAATTAGCAAAATAATAAGAGAGCAGTCTACAAAACTTCTCTAATTGTGTAAAAAATGTTAACATTAATTTAAATAATCAAATAATATCAAGGACTACGTACACCATATATACATAATCGTGCCAGTACTTTTTATAGCAGATGTTTAATATTTCACAAAATAATTCATTTAATAAAAATATTACGACGTTTTTCATAATTATCTAACCCTACCTAACTAAAAAAGGGTGCTTTCATATAAAATTTGTGAGTTGTTTGACAAAAACTAAAAAAATATCCCGAATTCTCTAATTATTGCTAAAGAATGAAAAATCAAATTCAAAGTCATTTTATTCAAAACTTTTATATGGGAGTGTATATAAGTGTTTATAAGGATTCGAAGTATCTAAGGATTCGAAGTAAATTTTATCTAGTTTAACTAAAAAGGGTGCTTTCATATAAAATTTGTGAGTTATTTGACCAAAACCAAAAAAATGTCCCGAATTCTCTAATTATTGCTAAAGAATGAAAAATCAAATTCAAAGTCGTTTTATTCAAAACTTTTATATCAGAGTGCATAAAAGTGTTTCTAAAGAAATGTAGTAAATTTTATCTAATTTCACCCTATCTTACTGAAAAGGGGTGCTTTCATATAAAATTTGTGAGTTATTTGACAAAAACCAAAAAAAAGTCCCGTTTACTAATATGGCGATAAAGTTCATGCATTAAACAGTCCTACAAAAATTGGTAGAATTATGAAAATTAATTAATATTTGGATAAATAGGTTACAATTATAGAACATACAAGCACGTGTCTGTTTGATAAATATCAATTGGAAATCGTAATGTTTAGATTTAATTGTAATCAAAAACTTTATTTTAAAAACAGTTGAAAATTTTAATCTAAGTATCTAAGCCTTACTATTTCTATTATTGTTATTTTGTTATATTTTATTATTTTTCTAGTATTATTTTATTATTCAGAAATTTTATTTATATTATTTATTAATTTTATTTTTATTATTATTTGCTTATATTTTATATCAAATCATATAACGGATATTATTTTCATGTAAATTTTATCCTTTGCACTTTTATTTATTTAAATTTATGTTATTATTTATCAATATTACTAGATGTTAATAATTTAACAGTTGTAGAAATTATTGAAATAAAAAAAAAAAAAAAAAATCTAAGTCTCAATTTCACTTGATTAAGTCAATTATTACTTGCCTCAAGGCAATATGCCCCTCACAACTACTTTTAATCACAATCCAAAATACCTACAAAACTATTTATTCCTCCTTACATAATTTATAAAAAATAAATGACAATGAGTCGAGTTGTCGTCGAGTCGTGACACTGTGTCATAAATATTAGAAGAGCATCAGAATTGATAGGGGCCCCCTTGAAATGGTATCATTTTCTATAACGGCAGCTCTTACATCGATTTTAGATTGCCTTTCATTTTATCCACCCTTAAAGACTCCTATAGTCGTTTTATTTATGATCGAAAGACATGCGAAATGCGACAGACACAAGATGGGAGGACTTTGCGAAAAAATATTAATCGTAAGAAATTGTTTATGAAATATTATATATATATATATATATATATATATATATACTAGCTGATCCGACAGACGTTGTCCTGGAACCATGTCTACAATTTTTTAATATAATATACAAATATTTACCGTTTATCTAAAAATAATAATTAAGGATTTTTAAATTACTCCTCGCGCCAAAATGCATATAGATTTACAATATGAGCGATGTTAAATGTAGAACTGCTTTAAATAAAATAATGAGTTGCAATTCCCACACTATATTGGAAATAGAAGTCTTTTAAACAGAATAACATAACCATAACCATAACATAACACTGGTACTTCATGTTGGATTAAATTAATTTAATTTTTTATTATTTAAGATATCCAAATTTGCATCTTAAACTTCTCCTAATCGATATCGTGAGTGCCGAATTGTATGTTTTCATCTTTACTTTCCCATTTGTTGTTTTAAAGTGAAATTTTTACGAATTTTAAAACTATTGTGGAAAGATTAGTAAAAGATGCAAAGAAATTATATATTGAAAAAAAAACTCTGTTCAAAATTCAATATCCGAATCTTGTGTTAGCGCCCCCTAAGGCGTGCACTCGTATTTTTCGCATGCGTCGCATTAAAGGTAGGACCGGCTCTGATTAATACTTAATTTCATATTTTAAGTGAATTAATTTTCCATATCCTATTCATATGTGTGTCATTAAATCTGCCATACATATACTGTATTTTGTTATTTTAATTTCTGGCACTTCTCAGCTGCTTTTCGGCAATAATAATGTAGACATTTCGTTTTCCTTCTTCATAATCATAAATTTATTATACATATTCTAATATTGTCTAGGCTCATAAGTAAATTGAAATTTTTGGCAGATGATAGTTTTCATTCGTTTTCAATGCAAACAATGGCATGTCGTTTTTGCATTTTTTCCATTTATTTCTACAATATTGCACAAGTACTTTAGAATCACATACATCCTAGAAAATTTCCTTAAAAAACTTAAGAAAGATTTATCTAAATCCGAATAATCGTTTAGAAGGAGCATACAGTGAGTGCTTGTAATTTAATATGAACTTTATATAATAGCAATAAAGCTTCAATTGATTCTACGTTTTAGTTAGAAAACGTTTGTATGAGAATAAGAAAAGGGCTGTTTTTAGGGTTTTCTCGGCAATTATTCGATTTTTTCCTTGGACTTCAACGAACATTTTAAAAAAAGAATTGGCCAAGTCTACATTATTTTCACTTTGGAACTCGAGAGTATAATGAACCTAATTCCAAAATTTCATGCAAATTGTAGACAGTAAAAAAATTCAGGCCCAAAACGCTCCATTAAATATTTCGTATCCAATTCCAAACATATGAATTTTTGAAACAATTAATTTCTCAGCTGTTTTGTGACAATAATAATGTAGACATTACATTTTCTTATTCATAATCATAAATATATTATATTCTAACATTGTCTAGACTCATAAGTGAATTGAAATTTCGGGCAGGTGAGAGTTCTCATCGAACTATTTTCAGTGTCAAACAATGATATGTCGTTTTTTGTAAAAATAATTATTTTCCATTTAATTCTACAATATTACTATATTTTTATAACAATTCACATCCTTAAAATTTTTCTTAACAAACTTCAGAAAGATTTATCAAAATCAGAATAATCGTTTAGGAGCATGTTTACATACATCATTACAGAAAAAATTATATATAAGATATACATATACATACATATATATATATATATATATATATATATATAACTGCTTGATATCAAGCTTAAATCTAATCCAAGACCAGTGGTTGCTGGTCTATGTTTATTCATGCTTAATTTATAAAAATTAAAATATAAAATGATATATGTTGCTTTGATTTTCAATAAATGCATATTATTTAATTTTTACTGTATATTTCGTACTATTTATACATTTTATTATATGTAAGATTTATAACATTTTTACAAATATTTAAATTCAATTTAACAATATGTTTAGATTCATTGTTTTTCTTCACTCTTCCGCTTATGATGTGCCATGTGTGTCTTCAAATGGATTGATTGTGTAAATGCTTTATTGCATATTTCACATTTGTAAGGACGCTCTCCATTATGAATTAGCATGTGTTTCTTCAAATTACTCGGATGTCTGAATGTCTTGTTACAAATAGTGCATTCGTGGGGGCGCTCATCGCTGTGAATGAGCATGTGTTGTTTCAGATTAGTTGATTGTGTGAATGCTTTATTGCATATATTGCATTTATGAGGTCGTACCCCTTCATGTTTCAGCATGTGAATTTTTACATGATTTAACTGTGTGAATGTCTTATTGCATATATTGCATGCATGGGGACGTATCTCTTCGTGTACCGGCATGTGAACCTTCATGTTACTTAATTGGGTGAATGTCCTCTTGCATATGTTGCATTCAAAGGGGCGCTCTCCTTTGTGTAGCAGCATGTGTTTTTTCAGATTACCTGATTTTGTAAAGGTCTTCTTGCATATATTACACTCATGTGGTCGCTCACCACTGTGAGTGACCATGTGATTCTTCAGATAGTCTGGAAGTGAGAATGCCTTATTACAAATATTGCATTTATGGGGGCGCTCACCACTGTGAATGATCATGTGCCTGTTCAGAGTAGTTAGATGTTTGAACGTCTTATTGCATACATTGCATTCATGAAGACGTGCTTCATTGTGTATCAGCATGTGATTTTTCAGACCACTTAAATGTGTGAATGTCTTATTGCATATTACACATTTATGAGGTTGCTCACCGCTATGAATTGCCACGTGTTGCCTCATATAATTTGAGCTTGCGAATGTCTTATTGCATATACTGCATTCATAGGGTCGCTCATCACTGTGACTAACCATGTGTTGTTTCAGACTAGCTGATTGTGTAAATGTCATCTTGCATATACTGCACCCATGCGGACGTACTCCTTTGTGTATCAACATGTGTACTTTCATATTACTTGAATTTCTGAATGTCTTATAGCATATATTGCACTTATGGAGACGCTCACCACTATGAATGAGGATGTGAGTTCTCAGATTAGATTTTTGTGTGAACGTCTTCTTGCATAGATTGCACTTATGAAGATGCTCACCACTATGAATGAGGATGTGAGTTCTCAGATTAGATTTTTGTGTGAACGTCTTCTTGCATAGATTGCACTCATAGGGACGCTCACCACTATGGGTGAACATGTGACGTTTCAGATGGCTTAAGTTAATGAATGTCTTATTGCATTCACTGCATTTATGTGGACGCTCACCAGTGTGAATGGTCATGTGATTTTTCAAAACACGTGTATCTTTGAAAGTCTTTTGACAGATTTCACATTCGTAAGGGCGTTCATTGCTATGACTAGGCTTGTGATCAACCATGTGTTTTGTTAGAAGATGGGAATCTGCGAATGATTGATTACAAATGTCACAATCAAAAGACTCCTGCTTGACTTCATCTTCAATTGTCACCTCGGAGTTCATAAATCTTTCCAAACATGTATCATTATCCTCAGAACACGATTCAGATTTAACGATAGCATCGAGATCATGAAATTCATCATCATTTTTGCTTTCAATGTCTTCTGCTGAATATTCTGGTGGTTCAATTTTAATTGCCTGATCATTCTTATACACAATTGTTTCGTCTGACATTTTATAATATTCTTAATGCTTATACTCACTAAATATTTACGAAATTATTCTTACGAAATAATAATCAACAATTTTTTTAAAATATTACAAATGCTTCCAACTAAAATTTAATTCATTATTTGACATGTGAAGCATAGAGCAATGTTTTTAGAAAGATGAGACATTTGCCAAAGCGCGTTAATATTTAATAAGTGGCGCCCTTTTTCAAATGCATTATCGTTCTCTATGTCTGAACTGGCAACAAACGTCTTTATTATTAATTTCAAAATGATTATTACCTAGAGTAGACAATTAATTAATATTAAATGATTTAGAGGAGAATTTATTAATTCCATGTCCTGCTAAAGATATTAGCTTTGTTTGTTTATTTCTAATCAAGATCATGTTTAAGAGCTGAAAATGGACATAGATCCGAAACGTGAACAACAAATAATAATTTTTTGAAAAACTGTTTGGTTTTTTCTTACTATTGGATTCCTTGTCCGAAACTCAACACATTTATACAGATGAAAGAGTTAGGACATTTTTACTAGCTGATAAATTTAAAATTGTTCAGTAGTTTAGGAGCACATTTTGTATAACTACGTGACACACACACACAAATTATATATATATATATAACTATATTATATTAACTACTAAATCATATATATATATATATATATATATATATATATATATATATATATATATATATATAGTTAACTAGTAGTACACGGCATCGTGTCTTAAGGCAAATTGCTGAAACTTCCCGTGCCGCAATTTAAATATTTTAAAAGCTTTAAAATTTTTCGAAAAATTTGAAAGAAATTAACTTTTTTTTAATTTGAAATATTTTTTTATATTTTGAAATTTTTTGAAGCGCGTAAGCACTCCGTTTACGGTTATACATTTTTACGTAACACGAAGAAATGTAAACAAAATTTGTACTTATTATTAAGATCTTTATAAAATATCTGTTAATTTGATATGCATATGTTTAATGATCATTTTTGTGTGCCAAATGGCTTTTCTTTTATTTTTTCTATTGGATCTCCAAAATCGCTAGACCTGCCTTCCTAAAAATTTAATCAGTTTTGCAATTTGTTAATACAAATAAAATGTTTTTTGAATCATTCAGATCGAACGTCCGCTTAAGAAATCCGTTTTCTCAAAGACTGAATTACCATTTTGCACTTTTTATCCCGTATCTTCGAAACGGCTCGTCCTGCCTTTGCCAAAAACTAAACAACACGTCTTAATGTCCATGTTAAAAAGTTAAAAAATAATTGTTGTAAACGAAAGTATGAGTAAATGACATTTATTTCTAATGAAATATTTACACAAATTGTAATAGACAAAAATTACACAAGCTAAAATAAACTAACTCTTCGACAAAAATAGCTTGTTCTCCAGAACAAAAATTTTAGATTAGAAAATCACCGAAATTAAATAATTTATCCCAAAGAAGTTTATTTTTTGCCAAATCATTCGATTAGTTAATTTTATAATATCTCGATCGTTCAAGTCTTTCTGAATGAAAATGATCGGAAACCACCGACAAAATTAATAACTAATTGATTTAAAGACAAAATTTTGCAATCTGGAATTGATTAATTTGATTAACTAGTTGGTATTGGTATTTTGCCTTAAGGCAAGTTACATAAACTTCCCGAAATGTGTAAATAATCGATTTAATCAATAAAAAATAAAATAATTTATGAGTGATTATAAGTATTCCGAGTAGATTTATTACACATCATTGCAAACGAACCAACGAACACGTTAACTCGGAGTATTTTATAAAAGCAAATTTTCAAAAATCAATAATTTTTTATAATTGAACCAGTTTCCGTAGGACTTTAATGGTTTGGTATGTTTGATGACCAAGTACTCTATTGTTATACCAAGTAAATCATCTAATTTTAATTTTAACAAACGTCAAAAAAAACTACTCATTTTCTCAAACTTTGATGAATTTTTAAAATTAAACTACTTGTCGTAAGGCCGTAATATTACAGTAAGTTCTATAAGACCACGATATATATCGCCAAAAAAAGTTCCATGAAAATCAACTCAAATTTTTTTTCAATAGTTAATTACAAGAAAACGGCTCGGTAGATTCTCACCTAAAATTAATCAGTATCATTCCCAATTAATATCTTTCGAACAGTTTTTGATTTTTTAAAATCGGTTCGGTAGGATGAGCTTAAATGTGGACGAAAAGTTTAACACTTTTTTTCAAATTACAACGAAACGTCTCGGCCGATCGTCCCATAAATATATATATATATATATATATATATATATATATATATATATATATATATGAAATCTATTATCTTAAATACAAATCTAATATCAGTACTGCTCGATATCAAGCTGAGATTGAATCCAGAACTCGTAGTTGCTAATCATTAAATTATATAAATTAAAACATATAATGATATAATATGTAATAATTGCTTTTATTATCAATGAATAAATGCATATTATTTAATATTTTATATTCATACATTATATTAAAAGTAAGAATATTTTATAACATATTTACAAATATTTAAGTTCAATTTAACAATATGTTTAGATTCATTGTTTTTCTTCACTCTTCCGATTATGACGTGCCATGTGTCTCTTTAAATCGGTAGTTTGTGTAAATGCTTTATCGCATATTTCACATTTGTAAGGACGCTCTCCATTTTGAATCAGCATGTGATTTTTCAGATTACTCGGATGTCTGAATGTCTTGTTACAAATAGTGCATTCGGTGGGGGCGCTCATCGCTGTGAATGAGCATGTGTTGTTTCAGATTATAGGATTGTGTGAATGCCTTTTTGCATATATTGCATGCATGGGGACGTATCTCTTCGTATACCAGCATGTGATTCTTCAAGTTACTTAATTGCGTGAATGTCCTATTGCTATGTTGCATTCAAAGCAGCGCTCTCCTTGTGTAGCAGCATGTGTTTTTTCAGATTACCTGATTCTGTAAAGGTCTTCTTGCATATATTACACTCATGTAGTCGCTCACCATTGTGAGTGACCATGTGTTTCTTCAGGTGGTAAGGAAGTGAGAATGCCTTATTACAAATATTGCATTTATGGGGGCGCTCACCACTGTGAATAATCATGTGTCTGTTCAGACTATTTAAATGTCTGAAAGTCCTATTGCATACATTGCATTCATGAGGACGTTCTTCATTGTGTATCAGCATGTGATTTTTCAGACTACGTGAATGCGTGAATGTCTTATTACATATACTGCATTCATAGTGTCGCTCATCACTGTGAATAGGCATGTGCTCTTTCAGATGACTTGTAGTTATAAACGTCTTATAGCATATATTGCACTTATGAGGACGCTCACCACTATGAATGAGGATGTGAGTTTTCAGATAAGATTTTAGTGTGAACGTCTTCTTGCATATATTGCACTCATAGGGACGCTCACCACTATGGGTGAACATGTGACTTTTCAGATAGCGTAAGTGAGTGAATGACTTATTGCATTCACTGCATTTATGTGGACGCTCAACAGTGTGAATGGTCATGTGATTTTTCAAAACACGTAATTGATTGAAAGTCTTTTGACAGATTTCACATTTGTAAAGGCGTTCTTTGCTATGACTAGGCTTGTGATCAACTATGTGTTTTGTTAGATGATGGTAATCTGCAAATGATTGATTACAAATGTCACAATCAAAAGACTCCTGTTTGATTTCATTTTCAATTGTCACCTCGGAGTTCATGAATCTTTCTAAACATGCATCATTATCCTTAGAACACGATTCAGATTTAACAATAGCATCAAGATCATCAAATTCATCATCATTTTTGCTTTCAATGTCTTCTGCTGAATATTCTGGTGGTTCAATTTTAATTACCTGATCATTCATAGACGTAATTGTTTCGTCTGACATTTTTAAATATTTCTAATGCTTATACTCACTAAATATTTACGAAATTATTCTTACGAAATAATAATCTAATTTAATCAACAATCCTTTAAAATATTACAAATGATTTCAACTAAAATTTAGTTCATTATTTGACAAATGAAGCATAGAGTAATGCTTTTAGAAAGATGAGACATTTACCAAAGTGCGTTGATATTTAACAAGTGGCGCCCTTTTTCAAATGCATTATGCTTCTATGTGTCTTAACTGGCAACAAACGTCTTTATTATTAACTTCAAAATGATTATTACCTAGACAATAAATTAATAATAAATGATTTACTTGTATTGACATAATTGAAGAATTGATCAAATTTTCATTATTCATTAATTAATATATTAAATGATTTAGAAGAAAATTTATTAATTCCAAGTCCTACATAAGATATTAGCTTTGTTTGTTTATTTCCAATCAAGATCATGCTCAATTGCTGAAGATGGGACGTAGAAAGATATTTTAATTTCATATAATTTGAAATTGAAAAATACACATAATTATGTTTACTTTAAAAACTATTTATTTTCATCAAGGGTTGTCCATCCCTAACTTTTTTAAAATTTTGGAATCAATTTTCTTTTAATTTTAATTTGCTTAATGCGGAACTAAATAATGCTACAATTCTAAATTTTCACCTCTCAAGAAAAATAAAAATAAAAGTAAAATTTTCTACTCTCTCAATTTTTATCAATCTTAGTAAAACTGTGAGCATGCCACATTAAAATATAATTTAAAAATGAATAATCAAATTTTACAACGTAATTAAAATATTAATGAATTAATGAAAAGCGTGGTAATAATATATCAAAATCTTGAAACTCTAAATGACTATTAAGGGACATTTATATGCGGCGTGCTTTACAGTGGGTAAACTATTCATTTATTTTTGAAGTAAAACTACTTTAGGCGCGGCTAGGGTGTAAATCTGTACAAATGCAACGGAAATAGCGTTACGCTCGAACTGTACGTCAAATCATTTCAATACGGGTCGATTGTGATTAGTCATCGTTGTGCATGTGAATAGAGATCTGTCGTTGTATGCGTACCGGCATCAACGTTGCATGCGTACCGATATTAACAAGGAAATTGACATAGATAAATAACAATTTTAAAGTTACATCAAAGTACAAATCTTGATTTAATGAAAAATGCCTGAATCAGAAGAATATTTTACCCTGTTCCTTGAAAATAATAAAACAAATTAAACATGTGTGCCGTGTACTAAACGTAAGTTTATTGATTAATAATTATTTCTATATTAATCGTAGTTTCTATAAATCTTCGAAGTTATTAAAATGAAAAATATTTTTTAGACAAGACAGATATTACAGCTGTTCAAAGAATGTGATTATATCGCCAGCAAAAAAGTAAAAAAATACAAGCAGTCAATGAATGAATGTTAATTTTAATTACATGAAGTTCTTCAAACACAATTATTACATGATGAGTGAAGTTTCAAAAACAATATTTGTTCAGGTGTTGTTTAACATAATCCACTGTGTGAACGAATATTATAGAATTTATTAATCAGGTATTACTTCATTTCTCTAATGAAGGTTCATCTCTAAATGCTAATTACAATGACAAACCGATCATGTCATATTTGAAGTATGACTTTAATTACATTATAGTTTTTAAATATTATACATATTTTTAATGCTATTATAAATATATAATTTATAATTTTACATTACTTAAATGCGTATAATGGTTGACACTGATAAATGTGTGCATCACGAGTGTTGCCATATTACTAATAAACATTATTCAAAATTGTTATACGATGTATTTATTTATCTTGTACAGTAGCAAATAAGTTTTACTTCAATCGCGGGTGAACCTTACGCGCACTCTTTTTTTGTTAGTTGCTCCTTTCACTTATGTACCACATTATAGTTATTTTCGTACTAAACGTTTTATACTAAAAATATTGTTTGTGGCAACACAACGTTTGCCGGGTCAGCTAGTATATATATATATATATTATATATACATATATATCGATTTATAATACACAATGTATTATATACAGAGGAGTGAAATTACGAGGCAAAAGCCAAAAGCGGCCATAATCTCTATTTAATAACGCCACGGCCCGTAGCACAAAGGATTCTATATGTAAAAGCGGAGGATTAATATCGCTAATGGAATTATTATATGACAGACCGTGTGTCCATCATATTTCGATACAAATTCAGCAATTCAGCATTTCAGTATTTTACTATTTCGGTATTTTATTATATCAGTGTTTTGGTGTTCCATTATTCAACTGTATTATCTGTGGATTGAATCGAGCCGTTGCATTTCCATATATATGACGTGGTAAATAGACTATGTTGTCTAATTTATATGGATTAATATATAACTAGTTGGTATTGGTATTTTGCCTTGAGGCAAGTTACGTGAACTTCTCGATATGTGTAATTAATCGACTTAATCAATAAAAAATAAATTAATTTATGAGTGATTAAAAGTATTCCGAGTGCATTTATTACACATCATTGTTAACGAACGAACACGTTAACTCGGAGTATTTTCTAAAAGCAAATTTTTAACAATCAACAATTTTTATAAATGAACCAGTTTCCGTAGGACTTTAATGGTTTAGTATGTTCATCAAGACCAAGTACTCTATCGTTATACCAAGTAAATCGTCTAATTTTAATTTTAACTACTCATTTTCTCAAACTTTGATAAATTCTTAAAATTAAACTAATTGTCGTAAGGCTATAATATTTCAGTAAGTTCTATAAAACCATGATATATATCGCCAAAAAAATTCCATAAAAATCGGCTTGTTTTTCAACAGTTAATTACAAGAAAACGGCTCGGTAGATTTTCACCTATAACTAATCAGTATCGTTCCCAACTAATATCTTTCGAACGGTTTTTGATTTTTTAAAATAGATTCGGTAGTATGAGCTTAAATGTGGACGAAAACTTTAACACTTTTTTCCAAATTACAAAGAAACGGCTCGGCCGATCGTCGCACAAAATTAAGAAAGGATAATTTACATCAAAATACATGGATGGGCTTTTAAATTTTTAAAATCGGTTCAGGCGGTTTGAAGCAAACGCCGATGAAAGTTCTAATTTTGACAAACGCCAAAAAACGATACTAATTTTTGCAAATTTTGACGAATTTTTAAAGTTAAACCTGTTGTCGTAGAGCCATAATATTTCAGTATGATCTAGAAAACTATGGTATCTACCGTCAAAAAAATACTAATAAAAATCGTCAAAAAAAATTTGTAACACTTTATTACAAGAAAACTGCCCGGCCGATCTCTACCAAAAACTAATCAGCACGATTCCCAACCAATATCTTTGTAACAGTTTTCGAATTTTCAAAATCAAATCAGAATTGCGGGCTAAAACGTGGATTAAACTTTATTCACTTTACTGCGATTCATAAAGAAACGGCTTGGCCGATCGTCGCACAACACTGACAAACAATAGTCCTTATTGAGATACATCGAATGGCTTTTAAATTTTTGAAATCGGTCCAGTCGTCTTTGAGAAAACGTCGATTTACGGCAAAAAATCTGTTCACACACACACACACATACTTTTTCCAAATTTGGTCTCATTCGATTCAGAATGGCTTGAAACGTCGAGAAAACATAAAATTAGCGAATCGGATTTTTTGATGAAAACATAAACTTCTCCTTCGGGAAGTTAATCATGTATAAGATTATTGATTATTCAAAACATTTTTAGAATATCAAGAATATTTTCAGTCTATCTAGAATATTTTATATGTATCTAGTACATTTTCAAGGTTATAGCTGGTTATACATTTTTTCCCTCTACTTTCAAATATTGTTGTTAAACAATGCTTAACTTTACTGGTTTTTGACACATTGGTGGTGGATCTTTTTAACCCCGGACCTTCATATATTACCATCTATTCTTCGATAAATTCTGGGAAATTATAACTGGTAAAATGTTATTCGACAAAATATCCCTTTGATCCCATATCTGGAAGGTTTTTAGGCTATTAGAGCATTTTCAGACCATCTACAACGTTTTCAGACTATCTAGAACATTTTCATATTATGTACATAGAATATTTTAAGAGTATGTATCTAGATTCTAGAACATTTTCCGACTATACAGAATATTTTTACACACTCTAGAACCATTTAAGAAAACCTTGACACCAAAATTGAAAAATTTGTGAGAAAATATTGGACAAGAAAAAAAAAGTTCAACATTCGCCATCTTGTCAGACCATTCCTCCTACTCCAATTGCCTCCAGCGTAAAATTGTAAAATTATCCAGGTAATTTTCGCCTACATTTTCAGAGACCATGTATCATATTATATTTTCCAATATATATATATATATATATATATATATATATATATATGTATATCCACGTATCTATTACAAGTCAATAAATCCTTCTCCGTTAGTAGTACACCTACCCCAGGTGAACTAGAGCGCAATCCCTTCTGACATTACAAATTTCCCTCAGCCATTTGCATAAAGTAATATACTTTGGCCTGTCTGTCTCTCCATTAGTATTCACCTTTTAATTAATTCCCATCTCATGGCAAACAATATACATACAGATACAAAACAACAACACTGACATTGGCAGATACCTGAAACTGATACTATGATACTGATTAAGGGATGAGGATGAGTTGGTATCAACTCTCTTCGATACATCGATTTGGAGGACTGAATAAATTAACCGAGGGATATATATATATATATATATATATATATATATATATATATATAGCCCGGCAGCCGTTGTCCTGTACCCACATCTACGTTTTTTTAATATCCTGTACTAATATTTACTATTCAGTTAAAAATAATAATCATTGTTTTTCGAATTACTATTTACACCAATATGAGTGATGTTAAATGTAGAACTGTTTCAAATAAAATGATAATTCTCAATTCCCACAGTTAACACTTTAACTATCCCTTTAACAAATATTAAAATATGTTCAATTAAATTGTATATTAAAAATTATACACTGCAATTTATAGAACAAATTTATTTCCAATAGCTCAATT